ACCCTCACCTCCAACACCCCTACCTTCCTGTTCCTCAACACTACCCTCACCTCCAACACCCCTACCTTCCTGTTCCTCAACACTACCCTCATCTCCAACACCTCTACCTTCCTGTTCCTCAACACTACCCTCATCTCCAACACCCCTACCTTCCTGTTCCTCAACACTACCCTCATCTCCAACACCCCTACCTTCCTGTTCCTCAACACTACACTCATCTCCAACACCCCTACCTTCCACGTCTCCCCACGTAAATTCCATCATACATTAGCAATATGTCAGTGTGTAGGGGAGAGTGCCAAGATGGTGCTATATTCTGCACCCGAGGCGAAGCCTCCTCAGCGCCACTCTCTGGAACTTCTCCCTGGATGCCAGTTCCTGTGCCAGCATAATGATGCCAGAAAGAGAAAGTTGTATTTTTACGCAATCTATGTTTTATATCAGATTTTATAGAAAGTTATGTACTAACAGTAGATTGTATGATATATAATTTTTAACTAGATCACGTACAGTGGATTGTATGTATATGAACTAGTTCACGTACAGTGGATTGTATGTATATGAACTAGTTCACGTACAGTGGGTTGTATGTATATGAACTAGATCACGTTCAGTGGATTGTATGTATATGAACTAGTTCACGTACAGTGGATTGTATGTATATGAACTAGTTCACGTACAGTGGGTTGTATGTATATGAACTAGATCACGTACAGTGGATTGTATGTATATGAACTAGATCACGTACAGTGGATTGTATGTATATGAACTAGTTCACGTACAGTGGATTGTATGTATATGAACTAGATCACGTACAGTGGATTGTATGTATATGAACTAGATTACGTACAGTGGATTGTATGTATATGAACTAGTTCACGTACAGTGGATTGTATGTATATGAACTAGATCACGTACAGTGGATTGTATGTATATGAACTAGATCACGTACAGTGGATTGTATGTATATGAACTAGATCACGTACAGTGAATTGTATGTATATGAACTAGATCACGTACAGTGGATTGTATGTATATGAACTAGATCACGTACAGTGGATTGTATGTATATGAACTAGATCACGTACAGTGGATTGTATGTATATGAACTAGATCACGTACAGTGGATTGTATGTATATGAACTAGATCACGTACAGTGGATTGTATGTATATGCACTAGGTCACAAACTTGAAGAATCCAGGTCACTGTTGTAAGTAATCTTTAAGAGGTAAACCAACTGTTTTATCTTTCTAAAGTTAAACCACTGTTGTATGTGATTGCATAGAATTTATTCACCTTTTATACGTGATCTCGTATAAGCTAACTCGCTGTATTACAGATGTATCTTGTAGATAATCTAACTTCCTAAATGCATTTGCTTAAACAGAACAAGATATCCCAGGGTGGATGCTGCCGCTGCAGTGTCTGCCGTCCTTTCACATTACAAAACAAGATCTGGTCCCAAGTGCTCTCGTATAAGAAGTAATAGTCGCATAAATTACAAAATACTATACTCCATGGGGCGCTCAGACTTACGTGGCTCTCCGTTACTGAGATTCTGATTTTTTTTTTGGGGGGGGGGTAGGAAGTTTGTAATGACAATTGAGTTTTGGTAAGATTTGCCATAAAATTCTCCCTAACTTTCCCCTACCTCTAGCAATTACACACACACGCACACACACACACACACACACACACACACACACACACACACACACACACACACACACACACACACACACACACACACACACTAATGAAGTAATATGCATATGCGATAATTAGATGCATTCTCTCTCTTTCTCATTAATCAGATCATTAACGTCGGCCACAGGACCATACTGGTGATGGGTGAGGATATTATAATCCACGCCAGCTCTTGCTGTGGGGGAATGGTAGGCTATACATGTCTCTTGTTGTGGGGAATGGTAGGCTATGACAATCTCTTGTTGTGGGAAATGGTACGCTAGGAAATTCCCTTGTTATGGGAATTGATCGGTCTTCAAGGCGTCTTGTTGTAGTCAGTGGTGGGTCTTAAGGGTCTTTTGTTATAGGTAATGATGGATGGTGAAGGTCTCCTATTGTATGGAATGGTAGATCTTGGTCTCTTATTGTAGAAGGTCTACGGTTTTTAAAGTGTTTAATGGAAAATACTCTTAAGTAATCCAAGAAGAGACGGGTTATACAAACAAATAGTTCATTAGCATTAAATTTCGTCCTTACTGGCGAGGAAGTATTGAGGAATTTGAGGCTACTTAACGAGAGACAGAGGTATGCCGTGTTTGTCTTCTTGTTGTGGTTTAAAGGGCAACTATCAGCTTACGCCCTAGCTTCTCTTGTGGTTTAAAGTGCTACTGACAGCTTACATTGTATTTTCTTGTTTTGGTTTAAAGGGCAACTGACAGCTTACGACGTATCTTGTGATTTAAAGGGCTATTGACAGTTTACACCGTATCTTATTGTTGTGGTTTATAGGGCCTCTGGCAGCTTACGCCGTACTTTAATATTTTGGTTTACAGGGCCACTGGTAGCTTACGCCGTATCGAGCCCTTCTCATCACTGTGTGACGAAAGATTCTCACTTACAACTCACCCCAAAGATGAAGGTCACCTAATCTTTCTTAGCTCCCTCTTCGTGTTTATTCACAACAGTTCTCATTGCTCTTAGCTCTATCCTTCCCAATTCCTTCCTCCTTCTCCACTCATTTCCATCCTTCTTATTACCTAAAAAAAGTAAAAAAGCAAAATAGAGTGGAGGTGTTCGTGTGAGCAGCATCCATGGGATTAAACTGCTATAACTGCTGTAACCCTTAACGAGCTCTGACTAATGGTTACAAGATAATGACCTCGTGATTGAGTGCCGCTCCGCTGCCAGAATTCTCACGCCTTTACAATGTATTCAGAAACTTTGTCCATTTTGCATATTTATGAAACAACAGTCATGAATAACTTTGCGTTTTCTCCTTGGCCAAACTCTGTCTAATATTTTAATATATTTATGTTTTTTTGTTTTGTTTCTTTGAACCAACACGAGCGTGAATACACAGTGAATACACACAGAGAGGTATATGTGTATTCAATGTATATATGCCGAGACTTTATTCCTTGTTTTAGAGATTAAATTATTCGTGGTTAGTGGTGAGCAAGTGAGATACACCCTTAATGAATATCGTGTAGTGGATGGGCTTTTAACCCTATTAACTATTCATTGTTACCTCTTAACTCCTCTAAAATCTGCTCGGTTGTTCACACGGCTCCGCGTCATGTCTCACCACATGTACAACTGTTCAAGAGACTACCTCTCGCCCTTCCTGCCTGTACAACTCATCAACCTTCCTCTCTGCCTCACCACTTATACAACTCTTCAACCTTCCTCTCTGCCTCACCACCTGTACAACTCATCAACCTTCCTCTCTGCCTCACCACTTATACAACTCATCAACCTTCCTCTCTGCCTCACCACTTATACAACTCATCAACCTTCAACAATAACACAACAGCTGTAAATTACTTCCTAGAGACTAAATCTTCTCTTCTTCTGGTTGCATATTCAACATTGTTTCCTTTTCAACACTTTTCTCATCCCTTTTCTTATTATCATATCCTTCTCTGCTCTACACATCAACATTTCAACAAAGCATCAACAGACATAAACAGGACATTAACGAACCGGATATGAAAAAAATCAAAAGAGGCAAAGAAAAGGATTTAGAAACACCAGCAGTGTGTTGCTGCCCTATTCCATGTGATGGTTACATAGTGCAGGAGAAAGGGGTGGATGAAAGGAAACAGGGAGGGAAGGGGGGAGGCGGAGGGAGAAAGGGAGGGCCAACCCTTGTTGTCTCCCTCGTAGAGAGTGTTGAAGTGCGTGTGTCAGGGAGTTAAGGGATCAAATCCTCAAAGGAAGAGAGTTTCACCCCAGAGCTTTAATCTTCCTCAGGTAAAGTTGACCAGCCTCAGTTATTATTATTATTATTATTATTATTATTATTATTATTATTATTATTATTATTATATTATTATTATTATTATTATTATTATTATTATTATTATTATTATTATTATATTATTATTATTATTTTATTACTGGTGTTGTAGCTGGTGTTGTTATTATTACTGTTATTATTATTATTGTTATTTCTTCTACGCCTGGGAAACGGGAAGGTAGTAGGTTTGATCGAAGGAAGAGGAGTGGAGCTTCAGTTACATGGATGAAGAGCTCTATAATGAGGTGAACTCTCTCTCTCTCTTTCTCTCTCTCTCTCTCTCTCTCTCTCTCTCTCTCTCTCTCTCCTCTCTCCTCTCTCTCTCTCTTCTCTCTCTCTCTCTCTCTCTCTCCTCCTCTCTCTCTCTCTCTCCTCTCTCTCTCTCTCTCTCTCTCTCTCTCTCTCTCTCTCTCTCTCTCTCTCTCTCTCTCTCTCTCTCTCTCTCTCTCTCTCTCTCTCTCTCTCTTCTCTCTCTCTTCTCTCTCTCTCTCTCTCTCTCTCTCTCTCTCCTCTCTCTCTCTCTCTCTCTCTCTCTCTCCTCTCTCTCTCTCTCTCTCTCTTTCTCCCTTCATTCAAGAAAGTATTAATGTTTCTGTGTATATACACTGAGAGATATACACCTCTCAGCACTTGTATACTGAGATAAATACACGTTAATACCCAGCGTGTAAACTTAATACCAGGGGTATTAACTTAGTACCTTGGAATTAATGCCATTGCTGAAAATTAATACGTGGGTATATACAGAGCGTTAACTTAGTACTTAGATGTAAGCTGTATAGCGGGTATTAACTTGATGCCTGGGTGTTAATACCATTGTATTAACCTAATACCCATCGTATTAACTTTAAATTCCCTGGGAATTTAATACCCATGACATTCACTTTTAATGCCCAGGTCATTAATTTAATACCCGGAGTGTTAGTTAAATATCTAATGATGTGTCTTACTCTGATGAGAATGAGCCGTGTTTTGCAAGTCTTGGCTAATGATAAGTTTTGTTCCCATGACAGAGTGAGAGATGTGGTCGTCAGTGGGAGGTTGTGGAGGCGGGGAGGTGCCCAGTGCTCGCCACAAGCACGCTGTCTGCACTGACCACACCAATGTTTACCTCCTAGGCGGCAGACACGGCAACCTCCCACTCAAGGACTTCTGGATCTATGATCTAGGTAAGTTCCAGTGGATATATATATGTAAAGTGTGTATACCAACGCAACATTTTCTGGCTAACTCTGCACCATTTTCCAGTGTTACACACTCTCTCTCTCATGGCTAACGAGAAACGTCTTGTGATGTTTTCAGTGTTTCATGTGTTATCGTTAGTGTTGCTGTGTGTCCTGCCGTAAACACCATGGTTGCTCTCCCCTCCACCAGTGAACCGTGTGTGGCGAGAGGTTCGCGAGGACACGGGGTCGAGGCCGCCGTCCCTGCAGCAGCACACCATGGTCAAGGCTGGTGACAGACTCGTTGTCTTCGGTGGTGAGCTGTGTATGTCCAACGAGACGCCTCTCTGGATATACAACCCCCAGGTAAGGCACATGCTACAGCCAGATACATCTGTATTCCTACATCTGGTTTTGTGATGAGACCGAAATGTATGCTTAGTCTTGGGTCTTCTTTTTAGACTGCATTTTTACACCAATGATCTTGCATTAAGACTGTCTTCTTCCCTCATGAATGAAGGCCACCCTGACACTGCACACTTCTGGACCAGGACTTAGAGTGCACCTCCAGACTTGCCTGACACATGCACGTAATGTTTGAGCCGAGGAGTTTGAACTTAACTCCACTTCTTTCAAGCAAAACCTCGTCTCAGTATGCAAGAACTGTAACCCACCAGTGAAGGGATTAAATATATTTTTTAAATTCGCTATAAATGATAAAGATTTTAGAGGTCATTTAATACTTAACATTAATTAAATTCACCTGCTGGGCCAGGTGGAGAGTGTAATTGAAATCATAAGAGCTTAGTTACCCCTTAATGGTAGGCAGCAAATTCCAGTGAGCAGCACATTCGTCATTTCAATGCCTGAGTTAAATTGGCTTGAGAGAGCCAGTGCCAGATGAATTCACATGGTGTGCCTGGCTTTTGGCACACTTCCAATTGAAATTATATTTTTAATGCTTGTATTTCTAAGGTGGGAAGTGGTGAAAGAAATTTATTTAACGGTTTTACAGATGTGGGTCAAGTGTAATTAATTATGGGTCACCCATGATAGTGTTGGACGGAGGATGGGTCACCCATGATAGTGTTGGACGGAGGATGGGTCTCCCATGATAGTGTTGGACGGACGATGGGTCACCCACGATAGTGATGGACGGAGGTTGGGTCACCCATGATAGTGTTGGACGGAGGACGGGTCTCCCATGATAGTGTTGGACGGACGATGGGTCACCCACGATAGTGGTGGACGGAGGATGGGTCACCCATGATAGTGTTGGACGGACGATGGGTCACCCACGATAGTGGTGGACGGAGGATGGGTCACCCACGATAGTGTTGGACGGAGGATGGGTCTCCCATGATAGTGTTGGACGGACGATGGGTCACCCACGATAGTGGTGGACGGAGGATGTGTCACCCATGATAGTGTTGGACGGAAGATGGGTCTCCCATGATAGTGTTGGACGGACGATGGGTCACCCACGATAGTGATGGACGGAGGTTGGGTCACCCATGATAGTGTTGGACGGAGGATGGGTCTCCCATGATAGTGTTGGACGGACGATGGGTCACCCACGATAGTGGTGGACGGAGGATGGGTCACCCATGATAGTGTTGGACGGAGGATGGGTCTCCCATGATAGTGTTGGACGGACGATGGGTCACCCACGATAGTGGTGGACGGAGGATGGGTCACCCATGATAGTGTTGGACGGAGGATGGGTCACCCATGATAGTGTTGGACGGAGGATGGGTCACCCATGATAGTGTTGGACGGAGGATGGGTCACCCATGATAGTGGTGGACGGAGGATGGGTCACCCATGATAGTGTTGGACGGATGATGTGTCACCCATGATAGTGTTGGACGGAGGATGGGTCACCCATGATAGTGTTGGACGGAGGATGGGCCGCCCATGATAGTGTTGGACGGAGGATGGGTCACCCATGATAGTGTTGGACGGAGGATGGGTCACCCATGATAGTGTTGGACGGAGGATGGGTCACCCATGATAGTGGTGGACGGAGGATGGGTCACCCATGATAGTGTTGGACGGATGATGTGTCACCCATGATAGTGTTGGACGGAGGATGTGTCACCCATGATAGTGTTGGACGGAGGATGGGTCACCCATGATAGTGTTGGACGGAGGATGGGTCACTCATGATAGTGTTGGACGGAGGATGGGTCACCCATGATAGTGTAGGACGGATGATGGGTCACCCATGATAGTGTTGAACGGATGATGGGTCACCCATGATAGTGTTGGACGGATGATGGGTCACCCATGATAGTGTTGGACGGAGGATGGGTCACCCATGATAGTGTTGGACGGATGATGGGTCACCCATGATAGTGGTGGACGGAGGATGGGTCACCCATGATAGTGTTGGACGGATGATGGGTCACCCATGATAGTGCTGGACGGAGGATGGGTCACCCATGATAGTGCTGGACGGAGGATGGGTCACCCATGATAGTGATGGACGGAGGATGGGTCACCCATGATAGTGATGGACGGAGGATGGGTCACCCATGATAGTGTTGGACGGAGGATGGGTCACCCATGATAGTGATGGACGGAGGATGGGTCACCCATGATAGTGTTGGACGGAGGATGGGTCACCCATGATAGTGATGGACGGAGGATGGGTCACCCATGATAGTGTTGAACGGAGGATGGGTCACCCATGATAGTGCTGGACGGAGGATGGGTCACCCATGATAGTGCTGGACGGAGGATGGGTCACCCATGATAGTGTTGGACGGATGATGTGTCACCCATGATAGTGTTGGACGGAGGATGGGTCACCCATGATAGTGTTGGACGGAGGATGGGTCACCCATGATAGTGTTGGACGGGGGGATGGGTCACCCATGATAGTGTTGGACGGAGGGGTGGGTCACCCATGATAGTGTTGGACGGAGGATGGGTCACCCATGATAGTGGTGGACGGAGGATGGGTCACCCATGATAGTGTTGGACGGATGATGTGTCACCCATGATAGTGTTGGACGGAGGATGGGTCACCCATGATAGTGTTGGACGGAGGATGGGTCACCCATGATAGCGTTGGACGGAGGATGGGTCACCCATGATAGTGTTGGACGGAGGATGGGTCACCCATGATAGTGTTGGACGGAGGATGGGTAACCCATGATAGTGCTGGACGGAGGATGAGTCACCCATGATAGTGTTGGAGGAGGATGGGTCACCCATGATAGTGTTGGATGGAGGATGGGTCACCCATGATAGTGTTGGACGGAGGATGGGTCACCCATGATAGTGTAGGGCGGAGGATGGGTCACCCATGATAGTGTTGGACGGAGGATGGGTCACCCATGATAGTGCTGGACGGAGGATGGGTCACCCATGATAGTGTTGGACGGAGGATGAATCACCCATGATAGTGGTGGGCGGAAGATAAGTCACCCATGATAGTGTTGGACGGAGGATGGGTCACCCATGATAGTGTTGGACGGAGGATGGGTCACCCATGATAGTGTTGGACGGAGGATAGGTCACCCATGATAGTGTTGGACGGAGGATGGGTCACCCATGATAGCGTTGGACGGAGGATGGGTCACCCATGATAGTGTTGGACGGAGGATGGGTCACCCATGATAGTGTTGGACGGAGGATGGGTAACCCATGATAGTGCTGGACGGAGGATGAGTCACCCATAATAGTGTTGGAGGAGGATGGGTCACCCATGATAGTGTTGGATGGAGGATGGATCACCCATGATAGTGTTGGACGGAGGATGGGTCACCCATGATAGTGTTGGACGGAGGATGGGTCACCCATGATAGTGTTGGACGAAGGATGGGTCGCCCATGATAGTCTTGCACGGAGGATGGGTCACCCATGATACTGTTGGACGGAGGATGGGTCACCCATGATACTGCTGGACGAAGAATGGGTCACCCATGATAGTGTTGGACGGAGGATGAGTCACCCATGATAGTGTTGGACGGAGGATGTAACCCATGATAGTGTTGGACGGAGGATGGGTCACCCATGATAGTGTTGGACGGAGGATGGGTCACCCATGATAGTGTTGGACGGAGGATGGGTCACCCATGATAGTGTTGGGCGGAGGATGGGTCACCCATGATAGAGTTGGACGGAGGATGGGTCACCCATGATAATGCTGGACGGAGGATGAGTCACCCATGATAGTGTTGGAGGAGGATGGGTCACCCATGATAGTGTTGGATGGAGGATGGGTCACCCATGATAGTGTTGGACGGAGGATGGGTCACCCATGATAGTGTTGGACGGAGGATGGGTCACCCATGATAGTGTTGAACGAAGGATGGGTCGCCCATGATAGTGTTGCACGGAGGATGGGTCACCCATGATAGTGTTGGATGGAGGATGGGTCACCCATGATAGTGTTGGACGCAGGATGAGTCACCCATGATAGTGGTGGGCGGAAGATGGGTCACCCATGATAGTGTTGGACGGAGGATGTCACCCATGATAGTGTTGGACGGAGGATGGGTCACCCATGATAGTGTTGGACGGAGGATGTCACCCATGATAGTGTTGGACGGAGGATGGGTCACCCATGATAGTGTTGAACGAAGGATGGGTCACCCATGATAGTGCTGGACGGAGGATGGGTCACCCATGATAGTGTTGGACGGAGGATGGGTCACCCATGATAGTGTTGGATGGAGGATGGGTCACCCATTATAGTGTTGGACGGAGGATGGGTCACCCATGATAGTGTTGGACGGAGGATGGGTCACCCATGACAGTGTTGGACGGAGGATGGGTCTCCCATGATAGTGTTGGATGGAGGATGGGTCACCCATGATAGTGTTGGACGGAGGATGGGTCACCCATGATAGTGTTGGACGGAGGGTGGGTCACCCATGATAGTGTTGGGCGGAGGATGGGTCACCCATGATAGTGTTGGACGGAGGGTGGGTCACCCATGATAGTGTTGGACGGAGGATGTCACCCATGATAGTGTTGGACGGAGGATGTAACCCATGATAGTGTTGGACGGAGGATGGGTCACCCATGATAGTGTTGGTCGGAGGATGGGTCACCCATGATAGTGTTGGACGGAGGATGTCACCCATGATAGTGTTGGACGGAGGATGGGTCACCCATGATAGTGTTGGACGGAGGATGGGTCACCCATGATAGTGTTGGACGGAGGATGGGTCACCCATGATAGTGTTGGACGGAGGATGTCACCCATGATAGTGTTGGACGGAGGATGGGTCACCCATGATAGTGTTGGTCGGAGGATGGTCACCCATGATAGTGTTGGACGGAGGATGTCACCATGATAGTGTTGGACGGAGGATGGGTCACCCATGATAGTGTTGGACGGAGGATGTCAT